AAGCGTTGAGTCTTAATCACTTCTACCTTAACTGTCTTCAACGGATATTGGAGCTGAGATGGCAGGACCGGATCCCCGACACGGACGTTCGTATAGGAAAGGACGGGAATCCTCAGCCCCGCACCATGCTGAGGCAGCTGCAACTACGTTAGAGCGATCGACTCATGCACAAGGATAACGAGCGGCTACCAAAACGACTCTTCTTTGGAGATACTACCATGGATTCCCGCCGCCAAGGGGACAAAATCCGTCGCCTCAAGGACACTCTGAAGACACCCCTGAAGCGTCTGCAGACCAACGCGGCCAATTGGAGAGACCTCGTTCGGGACCGACCGTTCTCGAGGAGGACAATGAAAACAGGCGCAACGATCTACAAAACCAACCGCATCACCGCATTCAATGCCAAACGCGAGGCCCGCAAATGCTAACTGCGCTCACCTCGCCACGCCAACGTCCAACCAGCCCCGACCTGCCCACGCTGCTAGCGGACGTTCTGCGCATCAATTGGCCTTGTGGAGCATCTTCGTACCATCTTCAGCACCCCGACTACACCAGCTGCTGTCTCCCCGTCCAACTCTCTCTCTCGTCCCCAACGCCGACAACTAACATTGACTGAACACCCGAAACCCCATTACCATCCTCCTCCCCCTCCACCCCCTTCATCGCCTCCATTGCCTTATCATCTGGTGCTGCGGCTCCTGTACTCACCACCCTTGCACACAATCCTGACACACCAACAAACGTCAACCGCAACATCGCAAAAACTAGTGATGTGGACTCAGTCTATACGTGTCCTCATTGCGACCGCACCTTCACCACACTCGTCGGACTGGTCGAACACTTGCGAACCAATAACACGTAGACTGGCGAACCAGGGGCTGGAAAACCAACCTACACTCGCCGTGTTCGCCTCCACTGTCCACACTGTCCCCGCACCTTCAATCACTGCGTGGGTTTATTCGGTCACATGCGTACCCATGAGAACGGAACTGACCACCGTCTCGTCACACCCGGAACCTCCTGCACATCCACCACCCACAGCCCGTCGCCCAGGGTGTCCACCATCAACAGCCCCACCACTGCCACCTTCTTCGAAAGTGACACTGACACCGCCGACTTCTCCTGTCCTCATTGTTCCCGCACCTTCACCTCACACATTGGCCTGGTCGGTTACTTGTGAATCCACCGCACAGAGACTGGCGAACCAGGGCCTGAAGTACCCACATGCACTCGCCGCACTAGCCTTAACTGCCCTCACTGCACTCATACATTCATCCATCTCATGGGCCTATTAGGTCACGTACGCATCCACAAAAACCTGCAGTAGACGAACGCCGGCTAAACCACACCACCACATCTTCCTCCATCTGCATCAAACAACATTATCACCTAACACCAGCATTCAGTTGCCACTTACCACGCAAGTCTTCATGCGGCTTCTTTGCTGCATGTGTGATTTGAGTATGAGACTATAACGACGCGTCAGGCGCTCTGACTGGGAAAGCTGCCGACAAAAGCCCCAACTCAGCCCACGCAGTATGCGCAAATATGTGTGTTTGTGTGGAATGGCAGACTGGTGGGCTGAGAGCCAGACCGAAACGGCTGCTTCTCAACGTGACAACTGGCACTCTCACGCATGTGAGATCTACGCCGTTCAACCCTCGTTGTGTGAAATCCTCGGGCTTGTGTTTGGGGAGCCAGGTCGTGCATGTGGCGCGCGCAGACGAGGTTACTAGATATGCCAGCCGCCGAGTCCATTCCTCGCACCTGTCAACTGACCGGATCGGACAGTGGCTAGGGCATCGGGATGGGAAGGAAGAGTGAGGTAGAAGATTATGCACATTTTCCTCAATATAAACAATCTGACGCGCTTGAAGGTATCCCGATGCGATAGGGGCCGTAGCTTGGAAGGTTGCCAACTGACGGGATAACTTGGGCCTGGCAGTCGACCCAGTGATGTGTGTTCATGTGGTGCGGCCGGCTGGGGGTCTGACAGTCAGGCTGCAATGGATCTTTGCTAATGTGGCTTTTATGGCTCTTCCAGTCCGTGGGATCCGAGTAAGCTGTAACGGCACGCCTAGGTGCGGCTCCGGCCGTGCCAGCCATACTTTTGTTGTTGGTCAAAAACTTGATCACTTGCTGTGTGGACCAGAGAATGTGGAATGGAACGCCAAGGTGCGGTCTTGACCGTGCCATCCACCTGCGCCCTCCCCCATCTTCGGGCTTTATGATTCTGTCTTGATACCGGGTGCAGATGGGTGAGGAGAGAGTGTAGTAGGTGCAGTGCAAGTCCACAATCACCATACATTGGTTCACTCGCAAGTTACCGTTCCCGCTCCACCTTGCTTTGGGTTACACGGTGGACATCGTTGGAAACGATGGTCGAACTTTCAAGTAGAGTTGTTGAGTTCTTGTTGCACTGGGTCCGGAAATGTCCAAGTAGGCCGATCTGTACGCGGAATATTCGCTGGCAGCCTGGAAAAGTTGGATGGGGTCGATTGTTGACGATGTTGATTGGAGACGCTTGAGACTTGCAGGCTGCCCATTTCGACTTTGGCAGCGGCCATCCGGCTGTCTCCATAGATTACTGCTCCAGTCTTCACCGCCCTTCCCCAGGCCGGTCGGTCCCAAACGAGGTCCTTCCAGGTCTCCTGGTTGATTTGCTAGTGTTTCAGGGGATTTTTCCGGACGTCGTTTAGGGACATGTACGTCCTCCATGTCGGCGATTATCTGCAGCCACATCGACTTAGAAGAGCTGCCTGATAAACCGCTCGTCGTCTAGCCTCACGAGATGGCCGGACCATCTCAGCTGTACTTGCCTCAGCATGGCGTGTAAACCGATGATTTCGGTCCGTTCCGAGTCTCCCATGTCTGGGATTCTGCCTTGAAACCTCAACTTTAATGTTCGCCAGAGACAGCTGGAAGTGACTGAGTTTCCAGAGATAATTGTTTAGGTTCTAAGCTGGGTATCTCTACGATGACGTTTTCGTCCGGCGACTGCAGGTCTTCCAGTCGCTGGGCCAACATATTGCTGAAATCGAAGCGACGAACCGGCAGACACATTCAGGAGCTCACCTGATGGCCGCTTTCCTCATGGCGTCATGCGAGGCTGCGGTCAGAGTATCATCCTAGAAATGACGGAGCATTCATCCATCAGCCGTTTACGTCACAGAAGGTCCATGTAAACGACGCGTCCTGTCGGGTCCGCCTCCTGACGAGAGCGAAGTCCAGCATTTTAGGCAAACGCACATTCATAATTGGTTGTCCGTCTTGTGATCATTCGAAGGGAGTATCTAAAGAAAGCGCACGGGAAGGCTGGGGGACCCACTGATGAGCCGAACTTCTCGTATCAGTGCCATGCAGCGGCAGAATGTCGGCGAAGCAATGTCTGGACATTTAGATAGTGCATGTGCTTCCAGTATAGCGTCTAGTACCACTTGGATAATTTTCTCTCTTAATCGACGCATCACTGAGTCACAGCTTTTGCCCTTCGACTAATTCTAGCCTTTTGCCTTCGTAATTTTTAGCGGGTTTCTGGATAGGAGAACAGGTTTTCACTTATTTGGGCCATATAAAAGCGAACTTAACTGTCGTAGACATTGTTAAGATCCTTTCCACCGAAAATTAGAAATATTACCAGGAGGGATGTTTCGTATCAGATAGTAGACTGCCCTTCTTTTTTTAAATGACAATCTCTTAATTGCCAGTAGACAACTTCGATCATGACAAGCCCTTAAGACCCTTTACTTTGACCTCACTGCTTACAGATTTCGTTTTGTGGGGGAGGAGTTGTAGGATCACGCACCTGTTGCTTTGATATATTTATCCCCTACTATAAAATCTCGAATTTGGAACGTCATTTCGTGCACATCAGTTCATAGCGGTCGCTTCCTACCATATAAAACTTGTGGAAAAAACTGCACTTATGACACTGCCTTTGGGAATTAGGGGATTACGCCAGTTTATCCCAGAGTATATTAAACCGAAGTGAACTGGATCTCGGATTCACTGGATCCCGAATATTAGTCTATTTCAGATTTTGTCTAAAGAACGTTTACTGGACATCCGACGTCTAGATCAACGATTTAACCTTCTAAAATTAAAGTCAGCTGTCCGACAAACGTAGTTTA